TATTCGCTGGATTTTTTGTTGTTGCAATGTCCTGTAATAAATTCTTAGCTGTTTAAGGTCATACGCAACGTAGTTTGAACTTTATTGGGTTCTTCTCTGGAGTTGAAGAGTTCCACTAAATGAAGAAACGGTGTGCAATACTTTTAATGTCTATATTCAGATTTGTACACTTCTAAAACATTTTTTTGGTGAAAAAAATCTGGAATTTCTGTTTTGTAATTTCTGCACATTTTTAGCTCACCTGAGCCGAAGGCTCAAGTGAGCTTTTCTGATCACATTTTGTCAGTCGTCCGTCCGTCTGTCTAGCTGTCCGTCTGTAAACTTTTCACATTTTCCACTTCTTCTTAAGAACCACCGTGCCAATTTTGACCAAACTTGGTACAAAGCATCCTTGGGTCATTAAAAAATCTTCTTCTCAAGAACCACTGGTTCAGAAAAGCTGAAACTTATGTGGAAGCATCCTGGAGTAGTGTAGATTCTAAATTCTACAAATCATGATCCCCGGGGGTAGGGCGGGCCACAATGCGGAATCAAAGTTTTACATAGAAATATATAGGAAAAATCTTTGAAATTTTTTTTCTCAAGAACCACTGGGCCAGAAAAGCTGAAACTTATGTGCACATGGAAGCATCCTGGGTTAGTGTAGATTTCAAAATGTCTAAATTATGATCAGTGGGGGTAGGGTGAGGTTGCAATATGTATTAAAAGGGGGAAATCTGGTTAAGAATAGAATGGTCAAAGCTTCTCAGGTAAGCGATGTGGCCCATGGGCCTCTTGTTCTTTGAATGATGCAAAAATTTTCAAAATTTGATATCTTGTCAAAACCCCTGGTAATGCATCCTAGTTTTGTGTCTAAGAACATGTAATGGTTTATATACGCCCGTCTTAAGACGGGACGTATTATGTTATAGGTTTCATGTCCGTCTGTCCATCCATCTGTCCACTCGTGTCCGGCTCATCACTTTAATACTATTAGGCCTAGGACTATCAAACTTTGTCAACTTATACATCTTGGGTAGACGGTGTGTCGCGCACAAAAAGTAGGTCACTCTGATCTTTAATAAAGATGCTATGGCCAAATAAGGAAAAATCTTGTCCGCTCATAACCAGAAATCTATTAGACCTAGAGCTATTAAACTTGGTAAAAGGATACATCTTAGGTAGAAGGTGTGTCGTGGCTTATTTCAAGGTCACTGTGACTTTTAATTTAAATGAATTTTTTTTAACTAATTTTTTTAAATTTTCTATTTCATAATCCTAAAAATGTAAAAATATAGTTGTATCCTCTTTAAAAAATGTTAAATCAAGTAAAAAACTTATTTTTTTCATCATATACTTTACAGAAATCTGTAAGAAATGCTAATATGTTATAAGAGGAATGCAGTTTGTCCCATGGACATAATTAACAAGCATTGGTCAAGGAGAATTTTGATAGCAGAAATATGCATGTCAAATTAGAGAGAAATTAATGAGTTTATTGTCAAGAGCTAACTGGAAGACCATCTCTGACCATGCAGCTGTTATCTCTTGGGAGTTGGGCAAAAAGAAATGGCTCTATAGTTGCTTGTGTTAATTAAGAGTTCTTGATGGCTAGTTCAGATAAAGATCTTTCAATTAGTTATTTGGTGTAATGTAATTAAAAGAAATTTATGTTTTAAAATACAGTATATGATTAAAACTAAATTAATATTGTATGATATAATGAAAACTAATTATACATGTGTACATTAAAAAAAGACAATTTCAATTTTTATATATTGCAACAAATTGCAGAGTGCCATGTCTTTTAATTTATTTTAAAATTTTATAGTCTAAAGAATAATTTATTTTTGATGTTTTTTAGACTGTAGCATTTTCAACCAATCATAAGATATGCAATAAAAAAGCGCTATATAAGGATATAAGTTAAGCTCTAACTCAGCCAGTTGTATGATGTATTATTTCTTATAATTATTGCCTACCTCTTAGAGATGTACGTACAATATTTTAAACGTGATAAGGAATGGAAATTAGATCATTGAAATCAGTGTCAATCTTGTAATCTTGAACTTGGTGATCAAGGTTACCTGATTTTCTTGCACTCTACATGCTCTAATTACCAAATTATGATTATTGAACAATATTTTACGGGCGTATCATGCTGTGGCGGGGCACTTTATTATTATAAGTTTAAATTTAGAATATCTTGAACAATTATCAGTAGGTAAGATACCTTGCATATGTCCTTAAATAATGGTTCCCGGGGCCAGAAACAGTACTAGTAGCTAGGGGAATAAGTGAGGCCATCTCACTACTCACGAAAGGGTAAAATTTATTGTTCATGGGTCGGTACATATGTAAGTATGTGGGAAAAACCCTCAGAAAAACATATTTGAATATCTGTGTCCACTGGATAAAAGAAATGGAAAAAAAAATATTTGTTCTAAAATGTTAAAAAAGGCAAGAGTCAGGCCGTTTTAGCCAGTCTGTCGAGAGATTGCAACCAGACAACTTTTTCAAGTTTTACAAAATTGAAATACAACTTATGCATATATCTGTATATATATATATATATATACGTAAAAATATTTATGAATCAATATGAACCACTTGACTAAAAAAAAAATGAATTTAATATCTGAAGTGAAACATATGAAAATAACGAACAGAAATCAAGATCAAAAGTTTATTAAACAATACAAAATAGGACCAGAGAAAACATGGACCTCCAAAACATTAGACTTGGGGGCTCAGACACCATGGAAGAAGAAGCGTCCTTGACGACCGTTCACATCTGCCGTGTGCTCCTTGTCATGATGGATAAATAACGGGAAAACCCGTCGTCAGAGTTCAGTATATAAATAATGGACTAACAATATATACATGTATGAAAAACGTCGGTCAGCATTCGACTCAATAAAAATATTTGCTGATAATATTATAGTATCGACCATAGAACTTACGGAATGATGAGTGATGATTTAAAACAAAACAGCTAAAATTCTATTCCATCAACAATGTTTATCAATAATTTATATCGTTTTAGAAAATGTTCAAACACGTGTAAAGCATGCTCTTGCGTATATATCGAATCAACTGAAATATATAAATTCGGTATGCAGGTGGTGAAGGTATGATATTGCTGCATGAGTAACTGAAGTTGACGATTGAAAAATTAACACGGAGCATGGTTGTTAGATTACCATTAACATCTCTTTCAAGTAAAATATCAAAATATGAAACTGATGTGTCAGACTCTGTGGTATCTTTTATCTCAAGCTCACCGGGGTATATCGTATCGAGATAAGAATGGAAATAACCATTATTAATTGACAATACGTTGTTGATTTATCGAAATGTGAAGTGAAGGCCATAGCAAGTGTTTTCTTCTTTTCACATATAAGATTTTGGACAATTCCTAGATCTGCTTATGCATCTAATTAGGCAAAATGTTTAAAAAAAGAGACAACCTTTTCTATACTATAGGAAATGTTAATTGAAAGAGCCTTGTTGCCCCCCCCCCCCCCACCAATTTTAGACTTTGAGAGATGTACCGAAATGTAGTAAAAGAAGTGGTACTGAAAGTAGTTGACACTGACAAAAAGTTTACTCTACCCCCCCCCCCCCCCCCCAACGAAATAGGATTTTCGACTTCGGGCAAGTTTTATTTTTATTTATTTATTTATTTTTTGCTTGTCAACTTTTTCAAGTAAGTATAAAAAAATTTCTTTGCCTGACCCCCCCCCCCACTTTCAAAAACGATGCTACGCCACTGAGAGAGATTAATTATTTTACATGTCAACATATGGGAAATAGCTATGTTGATCAAATAAGAATTCTAAAAGAAAAAAAAAAACTTTATATCGCACGTGCGCATGACTTCCAGCATACAAGTTGCAACTTAATCAGCAAATTTCAAAATTATTTATGTTGGCATATTTAAACAATAAAATGTTTTCTTTGTTTGTTATTCCTGGAATGAACGGAAGCAGCTGTTGCAGAAAAAATACATAACCCGCGTAAGCGGGTTATGTAATTTTTTTCTGCAATAGCTGCGACCGTTCATTCCAGTAATAACAAACAAAGAAAGACATTTTATTGTTTATATTTATATCTGTTTAAATAATCAATTTAAGAAGGATTAAAAAGATTAATTATTGTATTAATGATGCGAACGTCTTTATTTACGTTTCATTGATGGAACAGCCACTGATTAAGAAATCTGTACAGGCGACATGCCTACTGTAGTTTATGCAGTGATGAACGCAATGGGGTTTCTTAAGAAATAAAGGAGAAAATATTCAGAGGATGTAAATATTTAACAATAAATTGCTTTCTTTGTTTGTTGTTACTGGAATGAACGGAAGCAGCTGTTGCAGAAAAAATACATAACCCGCGTAAGCCTACTTATACTTAGACGAGCTCACTTTTGATCTCGGTCTCACTTTTACTAAAGGAATATATAGTGGAAAAGTGAGACTGAGATCAAAAGTGAGCTCGTCTAAGTTCTATGGCCCCCAGGCCTGATCCCACTTTAGAAGCTCTGAGGTCCTTGTTTGTTCTGCTGACGATTTGTATTGTTTTGGTGAACTTTTTACCTTGAGAATATTGTTAGTTTTCTCCATATATAATTTTGATTAAGAAAATGTAATTAAGATGGTCTTGTCTTTAGTAGTCCTATAAAACAAAAGTACAGATAGGGATGTTAAGGTAAAATAAAGTTTTGAAGTCTAGGCCTATAATTCTTGAAAAAATTAATCTTCTTGTTAATTGAAAGGAAAAAATATTTTGGCACACAAAAAAGTTAACAACTGTCATTGTCAATAAAATTTTTTTAAAATGATAAGAACGATAAGAAAATGGGAAAAAAACTCAAGTAGAAAAAAAATTTACAAAAATATTCCATTACGAAAAATGTAAAGTATTTTTACAAAACACCGGACGCGATACGTGTTTTCATTGTATTATTGTAGGCTTTAAATTTCCTTATTAGAAAGTCTATATATTTCATTCAATATGAGGAACACATTTTTTCACTCGTTTGATATTCTCAAATAAGGTATCGATGCAGTATGACCAGTTTTCAAACAAATACCTCTATTTTCTGTCAGATTTTGTTACTTTTAGCTTATTGCATTACAGGTAAGTTTACGATAATCAAATATAAATTTACGAATTCCCAATTCAAAGTTGTTCCACATCAATATATAACAAACTTGACTTTTATATGCTTTGCGACTAGACATGTTCTGGGGCCCTTTTTACACAAAAAAAAAATCTATGACTAAGACGAATAATTCACTACTCTGTATTTTTTAAGTAATGAAAATCTAAAAATTTTTATATAATTATTTACAATGAAGAAAAATAAAATATGATAACAAAAAAGATTTTTGCAGCTGAGATACTTGTATTTGTTGTTGAATGGGGGTAAATTTAATTCTACTTCGTAAGAACTTTTGTGAAAAGGACTTCTGTCTGGTTGGTATTTTTAACTTTGGCCTAATGACACGTTCCTTAAATATCAGTTTCCTTTCACTTTCACTCTGTATATAAAAACAAAATGACATATAACATGTATCATAATCATTATCTTGTGATTCCTTAACTGTTTTCAGAAGGTCTTAAAAAATATAATAAAATTGTGATATTGACAATTTAAGTGATTTTAAAAAGGATTCTAAGATAGGAAAGGCTACTCTCAATTACCTCGCACGAAACCTGTATCGCCTCCGGTAACGAAAGGTACCAATTGGCAGTATTCCAACATGTTCAATAGATTGGTGTTTTTTTTTGGGGGGGGGGGGATTGATTTATTACTCGTATTGAGGAACATGTCGCCTAACCTTAAACAATCGTTCTTTCTTCACACGTTTTCTAATCATAATGTCATATTGCGTTTACTTCCTATATCAGGTTATACGCCCACTTTTCAGCGCCTTAGGCGTTCCATAAGTAACTCATATTAATATTTTTTTCTAATTTCAGGATATATTGCTTCATATCAGCGCCTTAGGCGTTCCATAAGTAATTCACATTGCTTTTATGTCTGATTTCAGGCTATACTGCTTCAAATCAGCGCCTTAGGCGTTCCGTAAGTAAGTCATTCGAGGAAAGACATGTTAAGCCTATCAACAGAATAAGCAATGTGTGCAGTAAGCTACATAACGAAGCACCTAAAAGGGAAGGTATTGGCAAGCAAAGCTTCATACTTATACCAACAATGGGGACAGAGGCTTTAAATGACGCCAGGACAGCGTTTTATTCAGAGATAAATTCACTTGTGTTTGCGCTTATGACAAATAAATATGACGGATGCAAATTACAAAAGGGGAACAATAATTCCAGAAACACATGTAGAAATCGAAACACACCCATGCACCCGAAATACCTTTGTACATTCGATATGACTAAATTTAGTCGTATGATATACGTTGGGGAGTGTACCAAAAGCAGTTTTGGAAATCAACATGTATGTAGGTACTCCAACAAAGGATTTTTTACTATTGGTGTTTTTAAAACAAGAGCTGTTGACATGACGAAAACATGGTTTCTGATTAATCACATGGAACATTCAATGTTGGATCGAACAATGACTTGCAGATCTCCATAGAGTCTGTCAAAACTTTAAAAAATCATAAAGAAATTAGTTTTTCAGTTTACTGAATTGAATTTTATAAAACTTGTTATCAAAGACCTTTATATAGACAGTAGTTAAAATTGTATTTCCCTTTATTAATTGATAAAATAAAGCGAAAACGAACATCATTCAAGCTAAAAAGTCCATTAACAATACAAATCACAAGCAGAACATTTAAACACGGACCTCTCAAAGTAAAACATCAAAGATTGGGTCAGGTGTCATGACAGAGTGAACAATTCCCCGGTCATACCAATCGTTTGCTCCTTGTCGTGATTGGGAAATAAGGGGAAAATTGAATATTCAGTGTCTAAATAACAATTAGTGTGAAAAACGTCATGCAGTAAGCATTTGATTTCATGATAGTATGTTCTTGCTATAAAGATAATTGTTTCAGTGTGTAAAATCTATAACAATTAGTGTGGAAAACGTCAGTCAGCATTTTACATCATGAAAGATTGTTCTTGCTAACAGGTAACTATTTTGACAAAGAACAAATTGATGACTATTTAAACAAATTCCTGCTTCATTGATCAACTTGTTTGTCAACAGTTTTCTTGTCTTAGAAATCGTTTGGGTGTACTGAGAATACTCGCGCGTATCGAGTTAGCTGAGAGACATAAGAAGATGGTGACGGAAAATGCAAATTTTAACGGTATATTGCTACACTGTACATAATTAATGGACGCTGAAGATTGAAGTTGAAGCCTTCAAATTTGGCATAAAGCGTTGTTGTTAGGTTAACATTAACGTCGTATTCTAGAGAAGTATCCATATATGAAACAGATGTGTCAAACACTGCAAAATTGTTTATTTCAAGATCATCTGAATATATCAAATCGACTTATAAATGAACGTAGGCAAAATGATAAATGAATTTTGTCAGGTTCGTTCCGTGTGTTCTAAATACAGGAAATCCTATACCATTCTCTGCGATAAATCTTTCCTGATTCTAATTTTATATAACTTAATTTTGGAGCGATCAGGAAAAATTAAGCAAGGAGATATAAAACAGCAAAAACAGATAAGATCCATTTTTATATTATTGGCGAAATAAAGACAAACATATGGAGATAACGAACACTATTCAAGATCAAAGTGCATAAAACAATTTTAAAAAATAGGAGCAAAGCAAACACGGACCTCTAAAACATTAGAAGTGGGATCAGGTGCCATGGAGGAGTGAGAATACCCTGCTGATCGGTAACATCCGCAATGTGCTCCTTGTCATGATCGGGAAATAACGGAAAAATATGTCGTCAATTCAGTGTGTAAATAATGAACAAACAATAAGTATGAAAAAAATCAGTCAGCATTTAATTGATTCAATGATAAAATGTATTTGCCACATTACACCAAAATGATAAAAAAATTGTTACAAATCTTGACATGAGGACTACAGAGTTTTCGTTCGCTACCTGAAAGAAGGATATGGAGATATCGAACAGTATTCAGTCTCAATTCCAGAAAACAATACATAATAGGAGCAGAGCAAACACGGACCTCCGAATTATAAGAGGTGGGATCAGGTGCCATGGAGGAGTGAGCAACCCCTGCTGACCGGGCGTACCCGCCGTGTGCTCTTTGTCATGATCAGGTAGTAACGGAAAAATCCATTGTCAATTCAGTGTATAAATAATGGACTAACAATAAGTATGAAAAACGTCAGTCAGCATTTGACTGAAAATCTCATTATACCATTATAAATGTTAAATACAGTTGAAATCATCCTAACTTGGCTTTTAGACCTGCTCTACGTATGAACAATTTCTAAAACGAGGTAAATTATTGACAAGCACGTTGATAAAACAAGAATATCAGCAGTCTCGTTTAAAGTCATCATTTCGTATGTTCTATGGTCGATACAATGACCTTGTCAGCAAATACAATTTATCATTAAGTCAAATACTGACTGACGTTTTTCATACCAATTGTTAGTCCATTATTTATACACTGAATTGACGACGGATTTTTTCCGTTATTTCCTGATCATGACAAGGAGCACACGGTGAATGTGACCGGTCGGCAGGGGATGCTCACTCCTCCATGGCACCCAATCCCACCTCTGATGTTTCGGGGGTCCGTGTTTGCTCTGCTCTTTTTTTGTATTGTTTTATGGACTTTGAGACTCAATAGTGTTCGTTATCTCCATATCCTTCTACCTATAAAGATATAATGTACATAAGTACCTCGAGTGCTCATATTTTTGATATTGTGGTATTCTAAAGTTATCATAAATCTTTAGGGAAGTGGGGATTTCCAAGTTTAATACAAAAATAGATGTTAAGATATATTGTACATTGTACATATATTGTACATTGTATTTGATATAGGTTTACGTAATTTATGCACATAAAGTGCATCTGATAATGTATGTTAAAGTGGATTTTATAAATACATTCAATTGAAGAATGACTAAAGTTACTTACATATTTTAAATAACTCATCTGAATTAAATTCTGTCTCTGTGAATCAAAACGAACATAATGTTCAATGCCTCAATCTTGCAATCTAGTTTCCACAGATTATTTCAACTATTAAGATAAAGAACATTCACGCGAAAAAAAAATTTCAAAGTGCGTTAAATTTGGGACACACTCAACACACTTTGAAAATAATTTTCAAAGTGCGTTAAGAGTGTACATAAATATTTTTTACTATGGGGACATTTAACGCACTTTGGGAAAAAATATGTATAAAACAAAAAATTCTAGACTTATAATTTATCAATTGAGAGAATCAATTTGTATTAATTATATCTTTCAAAATACTTTTTAATTTACACATACTCATTTTTCAAAGTGCGTTGTAACAATCCTGCCGTGTGCTCCTTCACATGACTGGGTAAACAGAAAAATTCTTAGATAATTTTGAGTGTAAAATATGCTCTAACAATTGGTATGAAATCGACATTAACTTCATGATAGATTGTATTTGTTGACAAACTCATTACATCGACCACAGGCCTTTGGATCGCTTAAAAAAATGTGTGTAAAAAATATATATATATTTTTTCAACACCTCAAATTTTTTTTCCTAAGCGATCTGAAGGCCTGTGCATCGACCAAAGAACTTTAGAACAAACGATTTACTGTTTTCTCTACATATATACCTTTTAAGATTACCTTTTAAAGTGTGAAGTATAAATTTGATTAGACAGTAAAAATAAATTTAATCAGATTCAGATATTCATTTTATTCACATTTTGGCTTTGGTGTTCTTTTTCACGTATTTCTGAGAACAATTTTAATCAGAATTTTGATTTTGAATGCATTTATCCTGATTTTTTTTTTATTTCGTAAGTATTTACAAGAATACGGGATTGTGTAACAATCAAATGTAAAAAAGAAAATAGGTTGTGGCCATCAAATATACATGTACTTGCATAAAGAAGAAATTTTGATTTGAAAGAAGACTGCATGTATACTTTATTGTAATGTAAAACATCATTATTTAGGAGGAACAACTTTTAGCCCCTTGAAAAATCTTTAAACTCAGATACGTCATGCATATGTATAGCTTTAATGAATTTAATTTGTTATATCAATTTCTTTTACTTTGTTATAACGAATTCAATCTCTTAAAAATAGCAAACGTCTAATTTATTTTTTATACATGAAAACCAATTATACAAAAGAACGTGATAATTTTTGCAGACGTCATTTCCTTGTCAGATAAACAATAAGAGGGACACATACATTGTATGTATAACTTTTTGTCTTTGATATATGAAAACTGTATTGTATGTGTTTAAGACCAAAACCTTATAGTAGTAAGATCCAGTAAAAAGGGCTTTATACTTAGTATAATACAAATTTATTTAGTACAATTTTTGAACATTTTATTTTTCAAATTTGAACATTCTAGTTTACGAGCAGCTAGGT